CATAATATGAGTAAGCTGTGAAAGTGCATTTCTTGGCTCTTGAACACTCCACTATAATACTTTTGCAGTAACTGTAGATCCCTTGTTCCCTCCTTTTATTTCAGCTACAAGTACATCCTTTCCATTAATATTCTCAGTGCTAATGAGGCCAAAATGTGGCACAGTATGCTCACCTTTTTGGTGTACTTTTTAGACTTTGAAGCTCATCACTCATTGGTCTATTGAACCAAACTAATTTGAATGTCTGGATTCTTTTTAAAAAAATTTTATTCTTGCATCAGAGTGGAAAATTTCAAACATGAAACAAGAAGTCAGGAAGTGGTGCTGTGGCTCAAGCAGTAGAGCGCTTGCCTTGAGCTGAAGAGCACAGGGACAGCGCCCAAGCCCAGAGTTCAAGCCCCACGACCAACAAAAAACAAAAAACAAGAATTCAGCTAAGAGCCATTAAGAATACATATCATGTATAAATCATGTATAATAATTGATTAGAAATATAGGTCAAACCAAGTTAAAATGTGTTAGAATAACACCTCATGAATGAATACAACAAAATGATAGAGGAGAAAACAATACTCTGCGCCCTACTCCCTTCTCCTCCCTTCCCTCCTTCTCATCAAATAAATAAATGAATAAATAAATAAATAAATGTCCTCCTGTTTGATGGATTCGGACTCTAAGACTCTGATGATGTCCTGGCTTATTAGTTGCAATAAGTAAATTTGTTTGAAAACCTCTTTTGGAGAGAGATTTACAAATTTTCCTTCAAATAGAATTCAAGAAGACACAAAATCCAGATGAAAGGTGGCGCCGTGCTTGGGGCTGAGCTCACTGGAACAATACTGCATGCTGACGCTCCCAGTGCACTGGCACAGAAGCTTCTCACCCAGGTTGGGGCATGATGGCAGTTGGTTTAGGATATATTTACTGTCCTGGGCAGAGGCGCAATTTGCAAGTATGATTTACTATTTCTTTATTTAGCGATTTATTTTTCCTCCATAAAAATATGGAAATTTGATCAAAGCCTAGTAATCATTTTTTCCTTTCTTTTCCTTCTTTCTTTCCTTCTTTCCTTCCTTCCTTGCTTGCTTGCTTCCTTCCTTCCCTCCTTCCTTCTCTCCTTCCTTCCCTCCCTCCTTCCTTCCCTTCCTCCTTCTTTCCTTCCCCCCTTTCTTCCCTCCTTTCCTCCCTTCTTCCCTCCCTCTTTCCCTCCCTTCTTTCCCTCCCTCCTTCCCTCATTCTTTCCTTCCTTCCCTCCTTCCTTCCTTTTCTTTTTCTTTTGGTGTGGGTTTTTAAATGTCATTATCTTTTAACTGCATTCTTTGTCTTTTTTTTTTGTACTGAGGATCCAACCTAGTACGTTGTATTTTCTAGAAAAGTGCACTGCCACTAAGCTACATCCCAACTTTCCCCCCCCCCTTTTCCCCCTAACACATTGCTTTCTCTTTTCTCCTCAACCATGGTGTTCAGGCAGCCTCATCCTGTGGCTTGGAAAGTAACAAGATGTCAACTCATGGATTTAGGAAGATGCAAGGATCCTTTGAGGTCTGCAGGATAGGAAATATCCTATCGCTCAGTTTTCTAGGGGTGTCTACTGGGGCTGGGGTAGAGGTGAGAATGTGGTTAAGTGGCCCTTGATTTCAACTCTTTAGAGCCCGTGTGTGTTTTTTATTCAAATGGGCAGTAGAGCACTTCTCGTTAGTTATGCCAATGTCTTTAGCCAACAAGAGTAACTAAATGAACCAATGCTTGGTATGAAACCATTATTTTACCCCAAATTATGATATAACTTTCCCTAAATTACCCTCACCCATCCAACTCTTACTATCCGCAGTCTAACCCATATCATCGGATGGGTCAGACACACTCGTATTATTTCATTCTTATAATGATTCCACAGATATGACTACTGGTCATGGCTTTACAGATGGTTGGCTAGTGCTTGTTTTCAAACTTCATTTCTGGGCACAATTTAATTAAACGTGATCCAATTTCTTCCCCAAGAGCCATGGTACCATCTATTGTCCTGCCCTAAAGACAGTCTAGGTGGAGCAAATGTTTGAAGTTTAGGCCACTGCTGCAAAGAAGATTCAGTCCAAATCACTTAACTAGATGTAACAGCATGGAGATTTCCTAAGTGAGGCTCTCAGGGAAGCCACTTCCAGAAATCAAAACAATATAGTAGTTCTCTTAGTAGCAGATATTTTTGTTAGCATCTCTCCTGTCAGATATTCACATCCCTGAGGGGAATAAAACTATGAGTATAAGAATTTCTATGCCTGAGGGAGTTTAGGCAGAAACAGGGAGGTGGAGTATGTAGAAATAAATCAGCCAGGAGAATAAGACTGCAGCGTGACTGGTTAGGGTCTGGGAGCCAACCTACAACTGAATATCATGGTTGGATAAGTTTTAAAGGCTTGTCCCCAGAACATGTTCTTTTCAGAAGTAGGCTTGAGTGAACAGACACAGAATCCTCCTCTCCTCTGGTGAAAACTGTCAAGCAGTTGGGTGAAACCTCGATCTCTAGTCGTGATATGCTTTATTTCCCTGACAGGGATGGCCGCCTCCTCTACACCTCCTCCACCAAAGAGTGGCACAGTAGCCTCAGTTCCAGTTTCTTTTCTTCCAAACCACCAGCTCCACACTCACCCTTCACATTCCCCTGACCTAATGCCAAACATTTTGGTTTCAGCCTAGAGTTTGGACCATAACATCACCGTGAGGGATCATCAGATGGTGTGCCAGGGAGGGCTGGTTGGGCTCTAGTTATCACTGATCTGAGCTAGCTTTTAGAGATGGCTTGGATAAGAGCAATCCCTCTCTAGAAATTTAGATTTTACCCGAGCAACAAGAACTGTTTGGAAAATAGGATAAATAAGATAAAAGCCTTTACATTGAGAGCCAATAACAACAAAGAAAAAACCTCTTGTGTCCATGTCTTGGCATTCATTTGGCTTAGCATCATCTTGTATGGTCATAGCTACTGAGCTATTCTGCTCATCTGCTAAAGTTATCTTAGATGTATGCGAATTATTACAAATAAGAGAGACCATGGGGCCTATGTTTCTTTGGGTCTGGCTTACTTCACTTAATATGGTTTTTTCCAAGTCTTTCCATTTCCTAACAAATGGGCCGGCGTCATTATTTCTGATGGAAGCACAGAATTCCATTTGAACACAAGGTCTTGCATTTACTAAGCAAGAGCTCCACTACTCAAGCCACTTCTTCAACCCTTTATTGTATTAGTTTATTTTTATATAGGTTTTACACTTCCCTGTACCTAGGGTTGGCTTCAGATTGCATACTCTTATCTCTGCCTTTCTCATAGCTGGGAATGTACTACTATGCTCAGGCCCAGTACTACTTTTGATTGACAAACTGTGGCATTGTCATTATGCTTTATAGTATTGTGTCCTAACAAATGCAGAAAGTTACTCAACTCTCAGTGTGTGCACCCCTTAGAATTGAATTAAGGGGTGCCCTTGCATATGACCTCCACCCAAGAGCACTTGGAAGTGCTGTAAACCAAATCACAAGCTAGTTTACTGCACATCTTCAGCCTATTATCTTTTCTTTTGTAAATTAATTTACCTTATTTTCATCCTAGAAGTGATGTCCAGAGGAAATACAGTCAGGTAAGAGTCCATTTCCTTTCATGCAGTGTTTTCTGTTCTCTCATTTTTCTCCCAGTCCCTCCCTCCCATCTCCATCCACAAGTGGTTCAGTTCACTTCGATCAGTGTCCCAGTGAGCTCCACTGCTGCACTTTTCCTGCCCTCTCTTCTTGTATTTTAAAGTACACACAAACTAGCGCAGATTTTGTCACTCAGTGGAATGCCTGATAAGACTATTTTAGGGAAAACAAGTGTTGATTTTGTTGTTGTTTTAGGTTTTTTTCTCCAAGATGTGTCTGTGAAAAGTTAGTTGGTTTCCTGTCATCCTCTGGTCCCCAGCAGATCCCTCCCCATTCAGAATGGACCTCATTGTTCTTACTTACAAATATGACCCACAAAGCCTCGCCTGATCACCAGGACTTGTACTCCAAAATGCAAACAGTGAGTCAACAGCAAGCTACCTTCATGTGAAATAATTCATTACCCATCATACAGGTTGTTTTTTTTTTCCAAGATCAAATGCTGGAACTTTCAGTGCCATGCCAACTTGCACAAACATTTCTACAGAAACTGGCCCGATTAAAAGAGCAGAAAGCTCTTGCTCTGCTTTGTCACTCATGGCTGGGAACAGTTTGCTATTGAAAATTTTCTTGAAATATCAATTTGGGTTTGCCAGACACTTTCATCTCCCTAGCTGCTACCTTTTCTCCCCAAACTGAATTGTTCTTGTGCAGTATCAGCTGTGTACTTGGGCAAATGGATCTTGCTGTGTGTTTCAGAGAGGAATACTTAGTTTTCTAATTCAAGCAGCTCACTTTTTTCAATAATTTTTTTCTTTTCCTTTCAAGAGAAGAATCACTCCAATTTTTGCCTAAAGAGGATTAGACAAACTTTTCTAGCTACTCAAGGTTTCCCTGAGGGTGACTTATTTACTCATTAAACATATACCCTCTAGTTATTTCACCTTAGATGCTATGAGCCAGGCTCTGTATTACAATGTTGTATAGTGTATCATATGAAAATATTTGTAAGAATATATTTAGTGAGCCTCTGATTTGTGTTATGGAAAAGTGTTGATTCTTGATAAATAACAAGAGACATTGTTAAGCTTTTAATAAAGGGTTTCCTTTTTGTTCTTTGCATGACCACAACACCCACAATATAGAAGACAGGTTAGCATTTTACAACCAAAAAATAGCATGACATTAAAAAGAATACTGAGATTAGACATCTCTTTGCATAGCAAAAATCATATGCTTAAATTTATACAATTAGATATTCTCAGTCAAAGCACTACACAGAAGACACAGCCTTTGCAGAAGTACCCTGTTCAGGGTTGTAGCAGAATGCAAAAGTTTTTAATGCAGGATTTCAGTATCTCCCGTGTCCCCATTTAGTATCGGCTAGACAGGTCACAGAGGCTTCCCAGGGGATACCAACAGATGATCTCTTTGAAGGTTTTCCTCAGTTCCTGACTCCGGAGTGCATAAATGAGAGGATCAATGATGGCATTGCACATGATCAGAATGAGATACAAGTTAAAGTGAGACATGAAACACACACAGTATGGGTTCTGGGGACACGAGATATAGAATATTAAGTGGAGGAAGAAGGGAGCCCAACAGACCACAAAGACTCCAATCAGGATGGTCAGGGTGATCGCTCCCTTCATGTTGGCCCCTTGGTGGATGGTCCCAGTGCCCGGAAGGACAGCGATTCTCTTAATGTGAAGTCTGGCCATCAAGAACATGTGGACATAGAGCGAGGCCATGAGAACCAGCATGGTGAAGAACATGGTGATGAGGCAGATGATGACAGCACTGCTGTCGGAGTAAACGATGAACAAGACACCAGACACCGAGCAAGCTGCCCAGATACAACTGATAATGATGCCCACCCGCTTCACGGTCATGATGTTATGGTACTGGAGCGCATAAAAGATAGTGAAGTACCTGTCCACTGCGATGGAGAGCAGGCTGCAGATGGAGGCCAGCAAGGAGCTGCAGATCACCGAGTCAATGACATTGTCAATGTTCACGGTGAAGCCCTGCGCGTCGCTGTCGGTGCTGTTCAGCAGGGTGATCACGATGGTTTCCGACCCGTTGGAGACGCTCACCAGCATATCTGCCACCGCCAGGCTGCAGATGAAGAAGTACATGGGCGAGTGCAGGTTCTTGTTCTTGGCTATGGCCACGATGACCAGAATATTCTCCAACAGGCTGATCACCCCCAGGGTCACAAACACCTCGGGGGAGACGAAAAGTTGCTCGTAGCATCCTCCATCCGAGTAGCCCTGGCCCGGGGCCTGGCTGGCATTGCTGTGCCCTCGGTAGGCGCTGTGGTTCCAGAGGTGGAGAGCCGTGCGCATGCCGGCTTGGTGGCTGGAGTTCATCTTCGTGCCGAGCAGGTGCGCGGGCAACCTCGTGCTGCTGGGAAACTTCCGGGTCAGAGGTGCTCCGTTATTGTCTCCAAGTTTTCTCACCCTGCGTGTGACACGGCTCCAGAGGGGGCAGCCGCCACCCTTGGAGGGGGGTGTTATTATTGTTGAAGATTAGTTAGTGCTGGTTTAAGTCTGCTTCAGGTACGGCTCTGATGAGAGCCACATGAAAGAAACAATCCCGGGCTTCAGCGTTCACTCTCCGATGAAGGTGGTCGGTCTGGGCTTTTCGGTTCTCACTTCGGGTCACTTTTGTTAGTCTCCTGCGTTCCCTCGGAGCCGCGGTGCCACGCGTGGGGAGCCGCGTCTGCCCCGCACATGCTCGATCGGGCTCCGCTCCGAAGTGGCCGCTCGCAGCCGCAGCTCCGCTCGGACCTGCGATGTGTGAGTGAGCGGAGGCGCGGGGCCGCCGCAGACTTTTAGGTTAAGTGGAGAAAGGGGTGTGTGTGAGGGGGATGCTCCGCGTGGCTCCTCCTCTGTGCTCTCCTGACCAATCGTGGAGAAGGGGAGGGGATCTGCTCCGCGTGGCTCCTCCTCTGTACTCTCCTGACCAATCGTGGAGAAGGGGAGGGGAGCTACTCCGCCTGGCTCCTCCTCTGTGCTCTCTTGACCAATCGAAGCGCCGGGCAGGTCCGAGAGAGGGCCCCCTGGGCGGAGCGGCAGAGCCATGCCCACTCGGTTACCCCAGGCGCTGCCCGGCCTCCGCTGGGAGGAAGAAGCAGAACAACGTAAGACGTTTGCTTTCCCTTGCCCAGTTTTCAAGGGTAGCAACTTGATGTCTAGAGGTCTCTGTGATCCTTCTGGAAGGTGTTTGGAAGCAGCAGGGTTTATTTCCCACTGAAAAAGAAAAGTGTGTGTGTGTGTGTGTGTGTGTGTGTGAAATGAATGGAAAGCATGCTGGTATTTTGTGCTGTTGAGTTTCACTACTCTTTTCTGTGCTTTTGGTCCAGCATACTGAATTTATCTTCTTCATTTCTTTGAATTAAGAACCCAGTCAGTAATGCTTCAGTTTTAATAAACCTGAAACACGGGGAGGATAGTAAATAAGAAAGTGTAGGCATGCTAGAGGTGGAAGCACTGTGTAGATAAACTGTAGCAAGGAGCTCAAGACAGAACTCGCCTCTTATGCACTAATATCTGGTCTTCTTTGGAGGTAGTTTCTGTTAACCTAGCTAGACCCCCCCCATCCCCCTTTTATTTCACGATATTCAAAGCCCAGGTAGCATTGTTATATTTATTTGGAAAGAAGACAGGAAGAAATCACTAAAGAAGGAAAATCCTGTTTGCAATAGTTTATTATATTTGTCATAGTTTATTGTATTTGTCGGTTTACTTTTACTTCTACAGTTGAAGGCTCCATAAATTAAACCTGTAAATAACTTGGCAACTTTACTCCAGCCAAGACTAGTGAATGTCCGTTAGTTAATGGATATTTTGCTCAAGCTAGACTTGAAAGGTTGAAGCAAAGTTACTTTTCATATGAATGAAACTCCAGGTTATGACAATATACTGGTGTACTGTCATTTTCTTAGAATTTTTTTTTGGAGTGGGTGCTGGCCATAAAAATAGCAGAATTATTCAGGGGCCATTCTTCATGTTGTAATGGAGGTGGGGGCTTTATTCTCCTTCCCTTCTGTGACAGTCAGTGCTATTATCCATGAGCACTGAACTAAACTTGGCTCTTCCTTCCACCTCTGGAGATGCGTGGAGCTGGGTGGCTGAATTCTAGTACAGGAAGTGTGGCTCGTCTTCACACTCCTGCAGTCCATGGAAGTACTGGCTTATAGACACCAAACCGTATTACACAGGAAACTCATCTCCCTAAATGATGGTGCAGAGCACTCCACTTTCTTTTTTTCCCTCCAGCCCATCAACTACCCTGAATGTAATAAGAGCAAGCAATAGTAGCAAAGCTCAATCAACAAGTAACTACTGAGATAATGGAGTTGACCCAAGACAGCAGCTAGCATTTATTTAATTGGACTTTCAAACTTTTTTGCTGAACCATTAACCTTATAGCTAGCCTGACTTATATGAGAATCGGATTTCTTTTTTTCTATTTTGTAGTGAATTATCTAATCATAAGCAAGAGAGCAACAATCTATTGAATTATGTAAACACCAGATAGTCAGCTGGTGGTACATTTTCCTGCTTTGTCTGTCTCAGAAATTCTTATGGCATCCAACTTACTCTTTTGGTTAGGGTTTTTGTTGTTGTTGTTGGTTTGTTTTTGAGGAATGGCTGTTCTGTACATCTCAGGCTATCCTTGAACTCATGATCCTCTGGCCTTAGCCTCCTCAGTGCTGAGATTACAAAAATGTGCCACCACATCCAGGTCAATTTATCAGTGTTGGGGGTCAGTCACTCTTGGAATCATATCAGTGAAAATTGGTGCTAAACCCAAGTTCATGAAGGCTTACATTTGCTTATTGGCATTCTTAATTCGGTAAAACATTGTTCTCATAGATATGATTTTCAACAATCGTTTACACATGTTTGAAATAACTTAAAGTCTTTTAAGTATTAACCCAAACATCTGGACTCCCTCAGGAATAACTTTTTGAATGATATTTTTTCTATGAATAGCTGTGTGTTCTTATTTATTTGTATGTCTCTTGTTTTTGTTGTAAACAAAAAAATCTTCAATAATATATGACAATGACAATTCTGGAAATCATATTTCTTCCCTTTCCAGGGTTTTTTGTTGTTGTTGTTGCCTGCTTGTTTAGTGATGTGAGTGTGTGTGTGTGTTTGTGAGGGGGGTTTGAGCTCCTGGGGTTTGAGCTCAGTGCCTGAGTCTTGTCCCCAGATTTTTCACCCAAGGATCATGCTCTACCACTTGAGGCACAACTCTACTTCTAGCTGTCTAGGTACTGAATTGGAGATACGTCTCATGGACCTTCCTGACAGGGCTGGCTTTAAACCATGATCCTCAGATTCTGAAGATCTAGGATTACAAGTGTCAGCTGCCAATGCTTAGCTGTTTAGTGACCTTTCTGAGAGATTTCTGTAATGCCTGTGCTATGTCTGTGCATCCAGAGAAGTCCCTGCTTTGTTAGCTTATTAGTACTTGGACAGATAAAAGTAAGTCTCCCAGTTTTTGCTGAGAGGCTCTCACATGTTGGGGTGATCAGCCAGTCATTTGGCCACTCTACTTCAGCCTTTCTTTCTGCTTTCGTAGAGCTCTGAAGTCAGACAGAGGAGAGAAAAATTAGCACCTTGGGTCTTTTCTAAGCTTACATACAGCCTAATACATATACAGCACTTTCTAGCTAATATGCAGAGTTTTCTGTCATTTGTTTTCTTTAATTGGAGACTAAATTATAAGAGGATTCTATAGTATCTTCAAATATTTTTCTTCCTTTTTAGGAATTTTACTAGCATATGTTAGTTGTAAAAGAGGAAGATTCATTGTGATATATCCATCCATCCATCCATCCACCCATCTATCCATCCACCCATCCATCCATCCAATGAACCTGATCAAACTCAAGCAGTATATCTATCTCTCTTCCCTTTTTATAACAACTTAGGTTTCATTGTTCTATTTTCATAATGCATAAAAAGTACTATGACAGTGTTTGTTCTCATTCATCTTCTTCACGGGTCTTTCCACTGGAACTTGCCCCCCTCTCCAGCCTGTTTTACTTGGCTGTGACTCATTTTTCTTCAATATATATTAATTGTGCAAGGATGTTTTATGGTGGTAATTAACATGTGCATATACATTAGTTTCATCAGATCAAATATTTTCATGCTTGTGTTTTACAAAGATATTCTAGCCGATCATGGTTTAAAGCCAGCCCTGTCAGGAAAGTCCATGAGACGTATCTCCAATTCAGCACCCAGACAGTTAGAAGCAGAGTTGTGCCTCAAGTGGTAGAGCATGATCGTTGAACGAAAAAGCTGGGGACAAGCTCAAGCCCCCAGAGTACCCTCATACACACACACACATTATATGACACTACAAAGCATTATATAAAATGTACAATGAACAAATCTGTGATCATCACTGGCAGAAGAAATAAAATACTGCCAACGTTGAGGCTGTGGATTTAACTCAGTGGGAGAGCACTTGTCTGGCAAGAGCAGCATCCTGAGTTTGGTACTCAGCTCTGGGGAAAAATACCAACAATGTATTCAATGTGTTTGAAATCGGCAATGTGTCATGCCCACAGCCTCTACCCCACCGTCTTAATTTGATGCCTGTCGTCTATTCCTAAGCTGGGCCTTCTATTTTAGGAATGTTGTAGAATCACCTAAATCACCCTGAATGAAGATAATCAGTGGGAGAGTGAGATTAGGTCCAATTAAGATGCCACAAGTTTCAGTCTTCTTCCTTTAACTTAGCTGCTGTTTCCTTCAACAAGTCCCTCTGGGATTGCTTGGTGCCCTGATGGGTTTTCTGAACTAATTACACCTAATCAAGTGCGTTCTGTAATCGACGAATGTCCATTATTCCTTACTCTAACATTTGTCACTTAGTGTCTTCCACTTAGTGTCTTTTATTCAAAAAAAATTAGACAGCAACTTTCTCCCAAAGGAGACTATTTGATGAATAATTGAATAACAACCTCATATTTGTTTTCAATTTTAGGTAAGCCATGCATATGAAAAATAGAAAAATAAAAGAATTGATTGAAAACTTGAATAAAATGAAAATGAAAACTTGGAAACAATTTAATAATTGACCAAATTAATTTCTTTTATTTTTTACATGAATATTATTTATGTACATTGATCACACTGAAATCTCAAGAGATTACAAGAAGTGTAGTATATAAAATCATAATATATAATATCTCAAACTTATTTATTGGGCATTGATTTATAAGATTGAATATTTAGTCAATTTAAAAAGGAAATAGAATCAATATGTTTTCCTCCTGTGGTTTAGTTATCTGTGAGGCAGCAGAGATACAACCAGCAATGTTGGACACATTGGCAGTTTACTATT